TGCCATGGCACTCTACCCAGGGGGACAGCTTGAGGCTCTGTCTCAAAAAAAAAAAAAAAGATAAAAGAAAAACACAATTAAATTCAAGTGGGGGAAAGGAAAGGGGAGGCTCAGTAAGCTCCCACCTAACAGGTACAATTTTGGGGTATGTGGCACACTTCCTGGGTGAGGGACTAAAATATAACTCAGATGCTACCTAACAGCAAACAATGTAACCCAATTATATATATATATATATCTTTATAGTAATCCAAAATAAAAAAAAAAAAATCCTATGGTGCTGTACAGAGTTTATTGACTCCAGAAAGTTCCAGCTATAGCCTATGTCTGGGCATAGACATCTATGCTTGATGGGATCAGTGCAGTGTAGTGGCCAAGTACCTGGATCCTGGCTTTGCTAGTTCAAATTCTAACTCTGAAGCTTATTTATATGGCCTTGGGCCACTTACTTCACATTTCCATGGCTCAGCTTCCTAATCTCAAAAATAGCGATATTAATGAGGATAATGAGGTTGTTATAAGAGTTAAATCATATAATAATTTAATACCTCTTGCTACCAATTATACTCAGTTCTTGATTTTTTTTTTTTGGAGTCAGAGTATCACTCAGTTGCCCTGAGTTAAGTGTTAGTGGCCTCATAGCTCAGGGCAACCTCAAACTCTTGGGCTCAAGAGAGTCTCTTATCTCAGCTTCCTGTGTAGGTAGAACTACAGGTGCCTAACACAACACCCAGCTAATTTTTTTTTTTTTGTAGAGACAGAGTCTCACTTTATCACCCTCGATAGAGTGCCATGGCATCACACAGCTCACAGCAATCTCCAACTCCTGCGTTTAGGCGATTCTCTTCCCTCAGCCTCCCGAGTAGCTGGGACTACAGGCACCCGCCACAATTTTTCTATTTTTAGTAGAGATGGAGTCTCCCTTTTGCTCAAGTTTGTTTGTTTCTTTTTGTGACAGAGTCTCACTCTGTCACCCTGTACCGTGGGTACATTATAGCTCACAGCAACCTCAAACTCCTAAGCCCAAGTGATCCTCTAGCCTCAGTTTGTCTGTTTTATTTATTTATTTATTTATTTGTGACAGAGTCCCACTGTGTCACCCTCAGTAGACTGCCGTGGCCTCATAGCTCACAGCAACCTCAAACTCTTGGGCTCAAGCATACTTCTTGCCTCGGTTTTTCTATTTTTAGTAGAGACAGGGTCTTGCTTTTTGCTCAGGCTGATCTCCAACTTGTGAGCTCAAGCAATTCACCAGCCTCAGCCTCTCAGAGTTCTAGGATTACAGGCATGAGCCACTACATCTGGCCAAGAGTCCTTAGTTAATAGAAATACTTACAAAGGTACTTATGAGTGAAATAATATGGTGCCTAGGATATACTTCAAAAAAATAAAACAGTAGGAGGAGGATAAGTCAAACAATTTGGTAAAATGTAGTAACTATATAAGTGGATAATAGATATGGTCTGTTCATCATACTATTGTCTTTACTTTTGTGTATTTTTAAAATTTTCCATGATGTTTTAAAATAATAGTAAGAGGGCCAGGCAAGTGGATTGCTTAAGCCCAAGTGTTGGAGCTTGCTGTGAGTTATGACGCCATGGCACTCTACCCAGGGTGACAGCCTGAGACTCTGTCTCAAAAAATAAAAATAAAAAAATAACAAAGAATGGTAAGAACTGCCCTGACATGGTGGCTCACACCAACAATCCTAGCATTCTGGCAGGCCACACCTATAATCCTAGAACTCTGGGAGGCCCAGGTGGGTAGATTGCCTGAGCTCACAAATTCCAGACCAACCTGAGCCAGAGTGAGACCTGGTCTCTACAAATAGCAGGGCACTGTGGCAGGCACATGTAGTCCCAGCTATTTGGGAGGCTGAGATAAGAAGATCACTTGAGCCCAAGAGTTTGTGGTTGCTGTAAGCTATGAGGCTACAGCACTCTACAAAGGGGTCAAAGAGAGACTCTGTCTCAAAAAAAAAAAAAGAATGGTAAGAATTAAATATTAGGCCAGGCTCAGTGGGTCTCACCTATAATCGTAGCACTCTGGGAGGCCAAGGTGGGTGGATTGCTTGAGCTCAAGAGTTTGAGACCCTATCTTTTCTAAAAATAGAAAAATTAGCAGGGCATTGTGGTGGGCACCTGGGACTCCAGCTACTGGGGATGCTGAAGCAAGAATTTGAGGTTGCTGTGAGCTATGATGCCACCTCTCCACCTCTGACAGAGTGACACTTCCTCTTGGGAAAAAGAAAAAAATTGCTTCCAACAGGATTCTTTATTTTTTATTTATTTTTAGAGAAAGAGTCTCACTTTATTGCCCTTGGTAGAGTGTCGTGGTGTCATAGCTCACAGCAACCTCCAACTCCTGGGTTTAGGTGATTCTCTTACCTCAGCCTCCTGAGTAGTAGCTAGGACTACAGGTGCTCACCACACTCCTGGCTATTTTTGGTTGCAGTTTGGCTGGGGCCAAGTTTGAACCCACCACCCTCGGTATATGGGGCCCGCACCCTACCCACTCAGCCACAGGCGCCGCCCTCCAACAGGATTCTTATTCAAAACCTGGGCTGAGAACTACTGAGCTGTAACTTATTCTTGGTGCTAATAAGCATTTATTGATTCAACAAATACATTAACACAATGCCTCTCTTGATAGTCACAACAACGGATAGATCGCTGGGAAATAGTATCCACATTTACAGACTCTTGAGAGCAAAGGGCATTCTTACTGTCACCTCAGTGAAGCTAGCAGCTAGGAAATACTCCTCCCCACTGGAGACAGCTACTCTCCCCACAAAGAGCAATTTTCCTCAGCCCATGCCTAGAGTAGGGGCTGGGGACTAAGAATGGAGAAGTAAGTAGCGATGAAGGTTTGGGGTCCGGTGTCTAGTCTGTTTCCCTGGTCCTGTGGGTGATTCTGGGTTACTGAGGAAGGGAGGGTGCAGGGCTCAGTTGTCTGTCCATGAGGCTCTGTTGTGTACATAAAATTGTATGAGACAAAAAAGGCAACGACTCTACAGGTATCCTATCCTGCCTCCAGCCTCAGCTGCCAGGAGGGAGAGCTCCTAGATACCTTGGTCAGATCCTCCTCATTTTTGCATTATCCAGCCACTCCCTAGCTCAGCAAAGTAGCTGAGCCCTAGGCCTCAAATTGCTTTCCCCACACAATAGGTGGTCTTTGCAGTAGAAACCAACAGGTCTCCCACCTTGCACCTTCCGCCCACTCAAGCCCACTCTTTGTTGACCACTGAGAGCACATCCCCACACGTCTTAGGGAAATGGCTTTCAGGGAAGGTGAACGCACTTGGGCACGAGAGCCTTTGCTTCACAGATTGTTGCAATGCCCACGCTTCACAGATTGTTGCAATGCCAAGTGTGGGCACGGGTGGGGCTAGAGGCTGGTTTTTGAAACAGGGTGAACTGCAAAGGTGGGAGTGCCTAACAAGATACAACGCTGGGAGGAGTGGAGAAAAAAGACCCAGCTTCTCAACTCCTCCCAACCCTATCCGCTAACACCCTAACAAGTTTCTCAAGGTTGGGTGTCGGGAAACCTAGCCTCTTCAAAACCCCGCCCTTTGGAACTAGCGAAGCCTCGCCCCAAGCCAGTTGAATTAAAAAAAAAAAAAAATGGGCTAGGTGGAGGTAAAGATTAATTCTAGCCAAACCGCCTCGCTTTACAAAAAAGGTAACTGAAACCGATTGGGGAAATGTCTCCCTCAAGTCCATACAAGCAAGTCACTGACTGATGTGAATCCTTAGAATCTTATCCATCTCCCTCTCCTCCCCAGCTACCTGTTGCCTTGGTGATGAGAACGGGCTCCTGCTCAGGCTCTGGCTGTGGTTGCAAGAGGCTGGAGAGGCTGAGGACAGAGCTGGACATACTGACCATCAGCCAAGCTCCATCCAGGGCCCTTGGGCAGCTCTGCTCCGGGGTCAGGCCACTGGCCCAATTCGCAGAGGCAGGGAGCGGGACGTAGCGGCTCATCTCGCAGTGTGGCGCAGGGGCGTCCTGGGGGTACCGCCTGAGGGCATCCTGGAGGGCTCCTGCAGGGTCTGTGAATGCCAAAAAGGGAGTTGCAGCGACAGGGTCGTGGCGGGGAAATGGACTAGAAGGGCAGAGTTCATGGAGCTTCAAATGCACAAACTTCCTTGTAGTGAGAGACCCAGAGGAAATCCAGACTCATTGTATAATGGAAGGAACTGAGGCTTCAGGTCACTGCGCGATCTAAAGAGGAAGGGGTTTTGGCGGAGGTGATATAGGCGGGGGCAAGTCCCAATAGACTCACCATGCACGCTGAGGTAGAGCTTAGGGTCGAGGTCTATACGGGGCGGCGGTCCTCCGGGTCCCTGGCGCAGCAGCAGTGCACCAGGTCTTTTAGCCAGGTGGCTTCCGGTGGCATCCTCCACGAACCAGCACTCGATTACTGCGGGTCCTGCCGAGACGGCGGCTACCAGGTCTGGGAGAAAGGGATGCGAGTGAAGAAGTGCTGGAATGTCGGTGACCTGCATCTTCCATCCTGGCATCGCGTGCCCAGAGGGGCCACTTCCCTCTCCTTCCCTCACCCACCCGTTCCTGGGCAAGGAATCGCGGGGTTCGCTCACCCAAAGCTACAGCGAGGAGCAGAGACAGAAGCTTCATGGCGCTGCGATCTCCTCAGCCCAGAAGCCTCTTCCCCTCTTTCACTTTCGCTTTCTTCGGAAGGCCAGCAGGAGGGGGTGGAAGAAATCCCCGCGCTGGTTAGGTGAGGGTGCATGGGAGGTGGGTGCGTCTCCCTGACCAGGCAGGGGTTCGGGAACATCCTCTCCAGTTCTCATCAGCACCCCCGCAGCCCTGCCGTGCCCTCCTGGGCCACCCAGGCGCGCCGAGTTCGAGCCCTCCCCAAACTTAGGGTCTCCCTCCCTCCCGTATCTTCCTTCCAGCATCCATTTCCCTAGAACAATTACTACGGCTTTCCTCCACCTGTGCCGGGTCCCCAGCAAACACATAGGGGTTGTCAGGAAGCCAAGAGAAATGACCAATAAATATTTTAATTACTGTTAAAAATAAAAATGAAAATCTTGTACTCCTTCAACTTCCTCTTTATCTCCACCCACTTCCCTGTGAGAGCCGAGTTGGGGGATACCCAAGGGAGGTGTGTGTGTGGGGGGGGGTGAAATAGGGTAGAAATAAGGAGCGAATTCTTCTGGAGGGGTTAAGCTGTAAAAAAAAAAGGTTAGGGTTCAAAGGCCTGATTCCCAAAACACAAACGGACTTCAGGCACAGGCTACAACCACCTGACCCTTGAACCTGTGACTCCAGGATGCTCAACACACTCCCATTTACCTCTCCATGCGCACTCTGCCCTGTAAAGCTAGGACTTCGGTGTACCCATCAGGGAAGGAAGGGCTTGGTTCCAAAAATAACTTAGGAGAGAAGGACTGAGGAGTGGAATGGGCTGATGGTACACTGTAATTCCCCCTCCAGAATATATACAAGTCCATAAAGATAAAGGAAGACAATAGTGCGGTAGGAGAGCACCTCGGGGACATAGCGCCCTGTATCGTGCTCCCTATCCCCCCTTCCCCCGAAAGCTACCCCGAGTAGCCTAACTCAATTTGTTCCTCCGCCCCCATTGAACCCCATCTCCAGCTTGTGGACGCTGGGTGGGGACCAGGCACGTCTGCTGGACGGGGGCGTGGCCCCACTCGCCTCGTCGCCACAGCCCCCGCCTGCACTAGGGGACTCTCTCTTGGGCGGCAAGACTGGCACTGTGGGCGTCCCAGGTCCAGGTCCAGGTCCGGTCCCACCACCACCCAGGCGGTGGCAGCGCTCACAGTGTCCCCGGTGGCGCATGAAACTGTCCCGCCACATGAACTTCTTGGCACAAACGCTGCACTCGTAGGGCTTGAGACCGGTGTGCGTCTTCATGTGCTCCGTCAGATGGTGCTTCATTTTGAATTTTTTGTTGCATACAGGGCAGTCAAAGGGACGCAGATTGAGGTGCATATTCACGTGCCGGTCCCGCATGCTCTTGTGGGAGAAAGCCTTCCCGCAGTGGCACAGAAAGATCTTATTTCCGTCCCCGCTGCTGGTCCCTCCAGGGGCCCCACCAGCACCACTCGGCACGCCCAGGCCCCCCACTGACGTGCCCCCCAGGGTCACAGCCCCATGTTCTGCTTGGTTACCTGGGGGCTGGCCTGGAGCCTGTGAGGAGGACGAGGAAGATGGGAAGACCAGGATCTGGTTGCCCTGCATGTCCAAGGGAAGGAGGGAACGGGGAGGGTGGAAGAAGGCATAGGAGGAGGGAGTGGGACCCCCTGAGTCCTCAAGCCCTGCCCCAGGACCCCCACCCTCATAGGGACCAAAGTCATTGGAGGACTCACAGAAGTTGACCTGCTCCTCCCCCTTGCCTGGAGGCTCACTCAGGGTTCGAACATCACTTATGCTGAGGGTAGCCTCAGGCCCTCCCCCAGCTGAAACCCTGGAGCCACCCCCCAGCTCTTCATCTTCATCATCCTCACAGGTCAATACCAGGTCTTCCTCCTCTTCTTCCTCCTCCAGATCTGGGTCTTGGGGAACCAGGGGTGCTGGTGCTGGGCAGTTCCCACCTCGCTTCCCATATACCCATTGTTTCTGTGGCATGATGCTGTGAGGGGTGTAGGTGGGCCTCCGGAGCCCAGCCCCGGGAACCACCACCCCCCTCCCATCCCCACCATCATCACATAGCTCATCTGCCTCCAGCAGCAGCTTCCCAGAGGTGCCCCCCCCACTGCCAACAACAGAGGCTGGGAATACAGCGCCACCTCCTCGACGCTCCCCAGTGCCCACTGCTGCAGCTGCAAATGCCTCCTGGGAAGAAGATGAGAACTCGGTGGACTCCCGGGGGCTGAAGTAGTTGCTGCTGCTGGGAGACTGATTTTCACTGGCCCGGCTAGAGGCATGAGAACGCATAGAGCCTATCGTGGCAGGGGCTACAGTACCCCCATTCCCTGATGGGACCCCAGCACCAGGGACAGTGACAGAGGTGGCTGCAGCAGTAGTGATGGTGGTGGTAGCTCAGGCTCGGCCTTCTCGGAGGAGTTCAGTGCACTTGTCCACAATGTGCCACATTTGAAGCACAGACCCCACTGTGAGAAAGTTGACAATATCGGCAGCAGCCATGCTAAGGCGGCCAGTGTAAGCAGAAGCCAGGACAGTCTCGAAGGCACCTGGGTCCATGACGCTGGGCAGCGAGATGGAGGTCATGCCCTTGAGCAGGACCTGGTCATGAAAGTAAGGGGAGGAGGCAGCCAGGACAGCTCGGTGAGCCCGGAACTCTCGGCCCTGTACTCGAATAGACACATCGCAGAGCTGGCCTTGCAGCCGCTGCTGATTGAGAGACTCCAGAAGAGCACTGGTCACTTCAGGGAAGGACACATGTACCACTGCAGCCGCAGGCAGGGGTAGTGGGGGTGGTGCCAGTGATAGAGGCAGGGGGAGTGCTGCCCCACTAGGAGACAGAGGAGATGGCTCCATGTTGTGGAGGGAGGAAGGGGATAAACCCTCCCCCCCCCAGCCACAGGAACAAAGGAAGGAGGAGGGCAGCTGGGGGGGTCTCTGGGAAGAAAAAGAGAGAAGAAGAATGATAACATCTCATAAAGACACAGCTCTTTACAGTTTAAAATTATGTGCACACCTGTTTTCTAAGTAACTCCCACAACACTCCCCAACACAAGGAATTAGGTATTCCTTTTAACCTCTTTTGACAGACAAGGAAACTGAAGCTCTGAAAGCTTAATAGATTATCCAATGACACAGAGCCAGTAAGTGGCAGGACCAGATAGTACTGGTGTCTGACTCGAAATCCAGTGTCCTCTCCTTGGAGGTTAGAGAAATAAGATGCTCTTAGGGAATTACACCCTATTTTCTATTTGCCTGAGAAACGAACTTTCCAAAATCCACTTTTCGGTGTTTTGAGCTCTTTTGTGGTTGGAGAGCTGATCTAATTCCCTACTGAAAACCACCCCTCACTCCATCTCCCTTACTATGCCCCCCAGCTTTCTCGTGGACCACGCCCTTTCGCCACCAGTTTAGCCCTAACCCCGCCCCCTTCAAGACCCGCCTCGTGCCCCGCCCCTTCGGTCCTTTCGGCCCCACCCCTTGCCTTCCCCCCGCCCACATTGGACCCCGCCCCCCCCGCTCCTCCCCAATAGCTACCTCGGCCTCTCTGCCCACCCCAAAGGCGTCCCCCAACCTTGCGCGTTCTCGCTTACCGGGCCGCGCGCCCCCGGGCCCCCCCCGCCCCTCACTCGGCGACCAGAGCTGCAACCTGGGCCCCTCCCGCCGCCATCTTGCGCCGACTCCCTCCGCCCTCCGCCTCCGCTCCGCCTCTTGCCCCTCCGACTTTAAAGGCACAGACCGGCACCCCGCCCGTACCGCTGGGCAATACTCGGCCGACTCAACCACTTCTCCTTTAAAGAACCGTCGTCTCATTCCACCTTAAAGGTATCAGGGCCCCTCCTCAGTTTAGGGCTGTGGACCTGGTTCGGCCGAATCATTCATTTCCCTTTAACTCCATAAGCCTGACTTTCCCATTGGTGAGGTGGGCCGGCTGTCGTTCCCTAGGCTCCGCCCCTGAACTGTGACCAGTAGCTGGTTCGCGGGATGTCATCGTCCAGTTCCTAGCCTCTGACAGCCCTCCTGAGGCCCCGCCCCCTTCCTTCGGGGTCTGGATTGGCCAAATAACCTTGAGTACGCCTCTGATTGGCTTTTTTACTACTACTGCTGCTCCAAGTGAGACTCAAACTACGTTAAGGAGACTGCAGCACATTTTTTTTAAAAAGTGCCTGGCAGAAGGCATTGGGAAGACCTGAGGGCAAGAAAGCCCCAAGATAGGAGTGAAAAGGCCAAATTAGAAAGGACAGATAGGGGGCTACTATGGAGGCTGGGCTAACGGTGAGCCTGGGGACAGCTGATGCTAATCTGTAACAGCAGGACAAGGAACACAGGAATACAATAAGAAAAGAACTTTATTGTTTATTATTTTTGAGTGTAAAACCTAAGGGTTTTTTTTTTAAAGAAAAAGAAATACCACCAAAAGGGGATTAGCTCAATTCATCCCTTTCTCAGTCATTTGCTTCTCCCCATCCTCCAATGCTATCCCAAACATTTTGGAGGTGAAGAAAGGGGGAAGCAGCTAATCAGAGTCTGAGAGCACGATGATCTCCTCTGGATCGCACTGTGTGGCCACACTCATCTGCAGGGAAGTGAGAGACAAAGAGTCAGAGATCTGGAATGTGGAAGGAGGAGAAGCAGAGGGAAGGATTTAGAGATTAAAAAGTGGGTGGGGAAAAAGGAAGAGAAAATGATGCTGGTGCAATATTAAGATAAAGCAGCAGAAACAGAAAATGAAAGAAAATTAATTATCAGAGGAAAAACAGTCTCCTCTTCTTACTTTGTATGTACTGGGCCGGGGAGGCTGTGACTGGGGGATTTGGGACAACCAGACTGGAGAAGGACTGCAGAGGGAGCTGGTCACCAGACTATGGCTGGGAGAGTCCACCCTTGTGGAGGAATCAGCAACCGGGGACATGGAAGCCAAGGGGGAGGGTGGGCTGGGCTGGATGTGTATCTTCTTCCCATTCTTCGTGTGCATTGCCTTTTGCCTTTCCACATAGCTAGGAACAAAAACATGAACTGATAGAGTATGGGAAGACTGAGGGAGCATGTCCAGGCTCTCCCAGCATACTCAATTCCCCAGTATTCCTCTCAGAAAGCCCACTGTAATCCTTCCTTGCTTCCCTCTTCCTCCTGTTACTGTTACCTGTTTCCTAATGGCCCTGATCCTGTTTGCTTCTTTTCCTTTCGACATTTCTTGCTGGGAGGACTGGAATCTCCCCAGGGGTGAGGAGAGACACCTCCATTGAAAGTGGAGGTGACGACAGCTGCCCCATTCTCTAAGACAGTGGTGAAGGGGTCCTCTGATTGCTTCTTGGAAGAGGAAATATCTGTCTCCTCAGGAGAAGAGTTGGTATCCAGGGGCAATGCTTCAATCTCTAGCTCAAAGAGCTGAGATATAGGGCTCTCTTCCTCCAGGGGCAGCTCTTCAGGCTGTTTTCCATTGCTGTCAGCATCTATGCTGAAGGGTGCCAGGGTCTCTTTCAACACTAGTGATGGTGACACCATGAGTCCTTCATTTTGCTGCTCCCCTGAAGACCTGCTGATCCCTTTGCCAGGTTCCAGGTTCTTTACAGTGGAGATCTGTGGTAGGGTCATGGGGCTCCTGTCTCCATCCTTACCTGGAAAAGAAGAAAAGAAGCAGGGATGGCATGAAAACTAGGGGAAAAAATACTGAGAGAACACTAGGAATAAGAGGAAAGGAAAGGGTCTCAAATAGGTGGCTCATACCTAACACAGTAGAACTGGCACATGAAGAGAATGGTCCCTTGACATACCTGCTTCCTCCTCTTCCTCTTCTTCCTCCTCCTCTTCATCATCCCCCTGACCTTCCAGGATCTGTTCCAGATATTCCTCTTCTTCAGAATCTGTGGCCTCTTCCTCTTCTTCCTCTTCTTCATCACTTTCCTCATCATCTTCATCATCTGTCTCAGCCCTGTAGGTGGTAGGGCACTCCTGGGATGCCATTCCACTAGGACCCTAGGGGACAAAGAGGTTTCTCTAAGGAATCTCTTGCCCCAGAGGGTTTTGTTCTTGCATTCCTTCTGCACACTTCTCCATCAGTCACAGTGGACTCCTTGAAGGCCAGTGCAGGGAGAGGATAAGGTCTCCCTTAAGGGTGTACTGCTTTCACTTTCCATACCTCACCAGAATCCAAGGAGGCCTTGGAGGGATCGGTAGAGTAGGAAGAAGTGCCTTGGAGCCGGGCTCTTCTCTTCTTTCTCTCACCTTCCTCGTTTTTGTCTTGCATCATTGCATATTTGGAGATCACCTCATCCAGCCGGCTCATGGCCAAAGTTCGGTTTTCCCGAAGGCGCCGGGCCAACACAGGATCTGATAATGCAGGGTCAATACCTATATGGGAAGATACAAAGTCAGAGCACTCAGCCCAAACCTTAATCAGAGGTGTCCAAACTGTGGTCCAGGGGCTACATGTAGATTATTTAAGGTCCATTTTGCTTATCTGTGGTGTCAGATTTACAAACATTATACACAGACCTTTTTTTAGCTCATCAGCTTTTCTTAATGTTTGTGTATTTAATGTGTGCCCCAAGACAACTCTTCTTCTTCCATTGTGTGGCAGAAAAGAAAAAAGGTTGGGGCAGCGCCTATGGCTCAGTAGGTAGGGCACTGACCCCATATACTGAGGGTGGCAGGTTCAAACCCGGCCCTGGCCAAACTGCAACAAAATAATAGCCAGGTGTTGTGGCAGACACCTGTAGTCCCAGCTACTCAGGAGGCCGAGGCAAGAGAATTGCCTAAGCCCTACATCTGGAAATTGCTCAAGTGGCTAAGGCACCAGCCATGTACTGAGCTGGTGGATTCAAATCCAGCCTGGACCTGCCAAACAAAAACGACAGCTGCAACCCTCCCCCCTCCAAAAGAAGGTGTCACCTATGGCTCAAAGGAGTAGGGCGCTGGCCCCATATACTGAGGGTGGTGGTTTGACCCTGGCCCTGGCCAAATTGCAACAACAACAAAAATAGCTAGGCCTTGTGGCAGGCGCCTGTAGTCCCAGCTACTCGGGAGGCTGAGGTAAGAGAATCACCTAAGCCCAGGAGTTGGAGGTTGCTTTTAGCTATGTGATGCCGAGGCATTCTACCGAGGGCAATAAAGACAGACTCTGTCTTAAGAAAAAAAAAGAAAAGGCTCGGCGCCTATAGCTCAACCGGTTAAGGCGCCAGCCACGTACACCTAAGGTGGTGGGTTCGAATCCCCAGCCTGGACCCACCAAACAACAATGACGGCTGCAACCAAAAAATAGCCGGGCGTTGTGGCGGGCGCCTGTGGTCCCAGCCTCTTGGGAGGCGGAGGCAAGAGACTCGCTTGAGCCCAGGAATTGGAGGTTGCTGTGAGCTGAGGTGCCACAGCACTCTACCCAGGGGGACAGCTTGAGGCTCTGTCTCAAAAAAAAAGAAAAGAAAAAAGGTTGGACACCCCTGCAGGGAGTAAACAGATACCCCATAAAGCCTCCTACCTGGCCTATAGTCATCTGTGAGGTGGCAGCCAAAGTTGTAGATAAGATCGAGGTGACGTCTCTCCTGTAACCTGATGCCCACATCTCGGAAGGCATCCTGAGCCATAACCTGGAGCTGCTGTCGAGGAAGGCCAAGGCTGTGACGAGCAGCTGCCTTCTCAACTGCCCGCAGCACATCTCCATAGTCAGGGAAAGCATCTGGCTTATTGATGAGCCGCTCAATGCGCCTATTAACCTCTGGGTAGCGGGTGCCACGGTAGGGGATGCGCTGTTCTATGACCCGGCCTGTTAGTGAAGAGCAATCTTTCAGTTCACACAAACGCCCAAAGAGGCGGATCAGCTTACGCTTCAATCGTGCCTCCTGCAGGTATGTGGAGTCTGGGTCATCCAATTCTGAGAGATCCAATTCCTTTTCCTGCAGTCGCCGGATCTCTGCCACATAAAGTGCCAGTAGCTGCTCCAAGTGCTGGATCTGCCTCCGGGAACCACGGGTCCTTGAAGCTGTAGAGGCAGTGGTTTCAGCATTTGTGGGGCCCAAGGAGGAGTCTGTGGGAGGGTTATTCCCAGAGGGCTCATTGGAGGTGGTGGCAGCAGGGGCCAGATTCAGCTTCTTTTTAGCTGAGTGGGCCTTGAGAACAGTGCAGAGCTCATTGATGTAGACATAGAGCTTAGCTGGTTGGCTCCGGGCCCGAGAAAGGACCCGAGAGAGGATGTTGCAGAACTCTGCTGAGGCCAAAAACAAAGAGTGGGCACGCTGCTTCCGGCTATGGAGGAATGGGACCACCTCCGGGTGGTCTGCCGTGGGCATCTTACACAATTCAAGGAACTAGAAGGTCAAGGGAAGAAGAGAGGGGGTTGAGAGAAAGAAGGGGAAAATGGAATTAGTAGAGAAGAGAACCAGTCAGCCATCCCCCTCCCTGGGGTACCAGAATCCTCTCCCCTAAAGCTCACCTCTTCAAACAGCTTCTCATTCTCCAACTTGTAGCATTTCTTGCTGCCAGAAGTACTGCTTGCTCCAGCCCCATGAAGCTCAGAGGAGCCAGGGACTTCTGGCCCAGGTGAGGCCCGCTTGGGGGATGGGTGGGAGGGCCCTGGCTGAGCAGCTGCTTCATCTTCTTCATCATCATCCAGCACGATGATGTTGTTAGCGGTGGCCATGGGGGATCAAATCCCCAAGAGGGAGGAAGTGTTGGGGATTTCAGAATTCCTGCCGAAAGAGGATGGGGCCTCAGAAAGAGCCCCTCCAGCAAAGCCTCATCCCTGCATCTCACATATTTTCCAATCTCTGTGTTGTTTCAGTAGCATCCAGCATTGGCCCTGACCAATGGTGTCCCCACTGCCTCTTTTCAGTCACCATGAGTACTACATGGTTTTTCTTTCTTTTTGAGACAGTCTTATTCTATCACCCCGGGTAGAGTGCAGTGGTGTTATCATAATTCACTGCAACCTCAAACTCCAGGGCTCAAACAATCCTCCTGCCTCAGCCTTCCAAGTAGCTGGGACTACAGGCTGTGCCATGATTCCTGGGTAATTTTTCTATTCTAGTAGAGGTGGGGTCAGGCTAACTCCTGCCCTCAAGCAATCCTCTCACTTTGGCCTCCCAAGAGGGTTAGGATTAACAGGCAGGAGCCACCACAGGAGCACTACATGCTTTTTGGGCCCTCCAAGTGGGGCGGGTGCAAACTTAAGAGTGAGTCCCCACTCCCCTCACTTTGATTTTCAGTTTCATTTTCCCACTATTTCTCGTATTTGATAAGCTGATTCTCTGTTTCGTTTTCCCACTATTTCCCGGTACTTCTCATATTTGCCAAGTTGATTCTTCCTCTCAACCCGAGGACCACCTACATCCCAAATTTCCCTACACCTCCTTGCACAGATAACACACTCCTTCGGCACTACCTCAGGTGTTTGCTCCCTTTAACCCTCAAACACATCAAACCCACACCCCATCCCATCCTGGATAATCACCCCAACTCCTAGACTCTCTGAGGCCAAAACGGTTCCCCTCCAAACAATCCATTCTCTTTTCCCTTGTCGAATTATCTCCATATTTCACCCTCTGATGGGCCTCCTCAAACCCGGGCTTTAGGCGGGAGAGATTTCACCTTAAGTCCCCTCCCTTTCACCCCACCCTAATTTTCTCCTTTCTCTGTAACCTGTAACCAATCGTGAGCCCCTCAATGGGCGGTCCTCCAGATTCCTCTCAGATCTCAACCCTGTGTTGGGCCGGGGCTGGGGAAGAGCTTCCCGCCAAGCTCTCCCCCGCCCCCGGCCGCCACACTCCCCTTCAGGGATAGGAAGGTGCCACAGCTCATCCCTCAGACTCAGGTCCAGAGTCTCCCCTATACCTCTCCTTCGATATCCCCTCCCCGGCCTTCTCTCCTCGCACCGTCCGGCCCCCACCTCAGAAACGGTCTCTCTAGGCGACCCCAGCCGATGATCTCGGAACCTCGCATGGTTCCCTCCGCCTTCCTTCCCCCTCCCACCGCAGGCCCCACTACGAACCGGAAGCCACAGAGTTTCCGCCTACATGCACCTCAGCGCGGCCATATTGCGTCACGGAACCCAGTCTTCCAGTGGCCGGAAGTAGCTGTAGGCCCGCCCCGCGAGCTCCTCCAGAGCCGCCCACCTAGTCGGCTGCTCCCTTCTCCCTGACCTCTAGGGGGCGGGATTTGTCCCAGCCGGCCGTCCCAAAGCCCCTGGAGGCAGCCATTTTGCCGTACAATGCTGGCAACGCCCGGACTTGGCGCTCAGGGAGTGGAGCTTTTTTCACCAGGAGCTTCAGCGATTCCGCCAATCAGAAACTTCCTGCCTCAGGCCCAACCGCCAGCCGGTCGCGTGTGGGGGGCGGGGAGTAGGGCGGACGAACCCACGATTCCAAACAGAGGAAGGGGACCCGAACAAGGTGAATAAGCGATTGAGGTTTTCAAGGCTGTGCAGGACTTCAGGTAAGGGCAGGTGTCTCTTAAAAGGGAAGTAAAACCTCTTCCTTCAGCAGAGCTATTGCCATGCCTTTCGTACCTACTTTCTTGTCTCCCAGATCCCGGTTTCCGCGGCTTAATCAACTACACCTGCCGGTTCCCTTGCAAGGGCAGCACACTCCTTGCAGCTGCTCAGCAGCTGCTTCTATCAGGTGCTACATCTCCCGATCGTTAAATTATAACACATGCATACAAATAAGCACAACGCACTATACAAAAGTGGTATTATTGTTGCTGGTGTTGATTTTTCTTTCAAGCTACACCCCAAAACTAATGGCCACCCAAATCGGCGGGACCTGACTGGTTCTCCTCCTTTTCTGGAGGAGGAGAGAACTTGAAGGGCTGGCAGTGCTGACCAGGAGGCCGTGCTTTATCTTCGAGGTCCAGCGCGGGAGGATGGGCGATGATGGGGCGAGAACTTTGAGGAGAATCTTTGAGGAGAATCGTGCAAACTGCGGCTGTGAGGGCTGTGAGTCGAAATGAGAATCATAACATACTTAACATCTCGCCTCCTCTTCTCTGGGAGAGCTGAAAAAAAAAGGGAAGGAGGAAGAAACTGTGACATCGCTCAGTTAGGCAGTCTGACCCTTTGTGGAGACAAGGCTGGGTCTTGAGCTGAGCTTATGAGGAAACCGTAAAGATTAACACGCGCACACACACACACACCAGTCCCTGAGATTCCTGGGCATTTCACAAGTAGTGGGCATCTTGCCACTGTCTAGGCCCACAGAGGCCCTTACATCGCCAATGCCTTCAGAACCCCAAAACCTCAAATTCACCCTCCCATTAAAGAATCTCACATCACTTCTCGCCAGGAGTCTACTACAGCCTTTAATTTGGGGAACACAAAAACTCTTCAAAGGGAACTTGAAGATATAAAGGATTTAATATCTAGGCCCTCAACTTTCCCCAAATTGGTCTACTTAAGGAAAAGCCAGCAATACAGGTTTCTCCTTCCCTTACCTCTGTAAATAGACTCCCTCGTTAAAAAACAAAAAAAGTATAGTTCTCAAACATTAAATCTCCTGGGGTAATCTTTTTTTTTTTTTTTTTTTGAGACAGAGCCTCAAGCTGTCCCCTAGGTAAAGTGCTGTGACATCACAGCTCACAGCAACTTCCAACTCCTGGGCTCAAGTGAGTCTCCTGCCTCTGCCTCCCAAGTAGCTGGGACCACAGGTGCCCACCACAAGGCCTGGCTATTTTTTGGTTGCAGCCATCATTGTTGTTTGGTGGGCCGGGGCTGGATTCAAACTCACCACCGTAGGTGTATGTGGCTGACGCCTTAGGCACTTGAGCCACAGGTGCCCAGCCTCTCCTGGGGAAATCTTACCTGTCTTCTTGTTTTTCTTTTTGCAGTTTTTGGCCGGAGCCGGGTTCTTGAACCCTCCAGGCATATGGGGCTGGGGCCCTACTCCTCTGAGCCACAGGCGTTGCCCCTATTCTTACATGTCTTAAGTAAAGAGACATGTAGCCTATTTCTTTTTTTTTTCTGGCCCGGGCTGGATTTGAACCGCCCACCTCCAGCATTTGGGGCTGGTGCCCTACCCCTTTGAGCCACAGGCACCACCCCACATGTAGCCTATTTCTTTCATTAAGGCACCATGAACACCACATCTTACAACTTATTTAAAAAAATTCATTTAAAGGCAGGGCTTGGTGGTAAAAGCCTGTAATCCTACCACTCTGGGAGGCAGAGGTGGTTAGATTGCATGAGGTCACTGGTTGGAGACCAGCCTGAGCTAGAGCAAGACCTCATCTCCAAAAATAGCAGGGCTGACTCCGTTCCTGTAGCTCAAGCAGCTAAGGTGCCAGCCACATACACCAGAGCTGGTGGGTTCGAATCCAGGCCAGGCCTGCCAAATAAGGACAACTACAACCAAAAAATAGCCGTGCACTGTAGCCCAGCTACTTGGGAGGCTGAGGCAAGAGAATCATTTAAAGCCCAGGAGTTGGAGGTTGCTGTGAGCTTGACACCACGACACTACCCAGGGGATAGCTTGAGGTTCTGTCTCAAAATAAATAAATAAATAAAAATAAAAATAGCAGGGCTTTGTGGCGGGCACCTGTAGTCCCAGCTACTTGGGAGGCTGAGGCAAGACAATTGCTTGAGCACAAAGTTGGAGGTTGTTGTGAGCTGTGACATCATAGCACTCTACCAAGGGAGATAGAGTGAGACTATCTCGAAGAAAAAAAAATTTTTAAATTCCTTTTTAACAGTTACAAAAATTGGTGGCACCCATAGCTCAGTGGGTAGGGCGTCAGCCACATGCTCAGAGGCTGCTGGGTTTGAACCTAGCCAGGGCCTAGGTGCAATGATGACTGCAACAAAAAAAAATAGCTGGGTGCTGTGGTGGGCGCCTGTAGTCTCAGCTACTTGGGAGGCTGAGGCAAGAGAATCGCTTAAGCTCAAGAGTTTGAGGTTGAGATTGCTGTGAGCCGTGATGCCACAACACTCTACCAAGGGCAACATAGTGATACTGTCTCAAAAAAAATTACAAAAATTTGTACAGTCTTTATGCTGTTTAAAGAATACAGTTCTCACAATAATTGTCACAATAACTCATCTCAGAAGAATTTTTAACAATTACTGACTTGTAAGAAAGATTTTTTTCTTTTTTAGACACAGTCTCATTATGTCACCTTCAGTACAGTACTGTGGCATCACAGCTCACAGCAACCTCAAACTCTTGGGCTTAAGTGATTCTCTTGCCTCAGCCTCCCAAGTAGCTGGGACAACAGGT